TCACTAGTCTGAGCATGTTTCTCGACTAAACCGCTTACGAGAGTGTGATTATACCCCAAATTCCGACCAATTGCATTGCAAGACATTCCTGCATTATGCATGCCGATTATTTGCCATCTTGTGGCGTTTGATAATCGCCTTCGTGCCATGGTCACACAATGTCATGGAATAACTGTTTAGAATCGAGCTTAAGAAAGCAGTTTTAACGTTTGGATATACTGCTTTCAGAGATACTCGGGGGTAGCATGCTGCACGGGCATACCTTGCATGGCACGTGAGCTTTCGTCAGGCATGACTGATTACATCATCTCGAGAAAACATAATTCTTCCCGCAATTATATCTTTCATGACTCTTACACATATTGGGACCAAACAATAAAGAAATGTATTAGGGTGAGCTTTTTTCTTTGTGTATATAACTATGATCAATATTGAACAATATTTAACACAGAATTGCTGTCATTCTTTATAGAAAATCATTAGCCAAATTGTTAGGCGGTGGGTGATTGAACTGGAGTCAGTGTTTATCAAGGGTGTTGGTTATTTACATATTGTTCTAGTTTTGGCTATGATAATGTTGAACATGAGTTTCATATCTACTTAAACCGTGCTTTTTGCTGAGGACAAATGACTTTTTGTTTTATTTTTGACTGGACATTCTTCTATGTCATTACCAAATATTAAAACATCTTTAAGACATCTTGCATGACAATCTGTCAGAATGCCTTTTGTTGATCTAAGGAAAACGTTTCACCATACAAGGTTTTATTAAATATCTAATTAATTCCAGTTGTCCAGCAACCTCAGCAATACATCAAAATTGTATATCATTATATAAAAACAAAGCAGTACATTATTTCCAATTATTGCTACATAGATTCCAAGCCTGCAACAAATGTCAGTACAGTCCCCCACTTGCTGTTTGAAACTTTTCAACATGTGTATGCAACAGTGATAGATAGAATTTAATTTATTCCATTTTGAAATTGTTTGATTAAAATAATGTGTTTCATACTTTTTTCATGTTTCTAACCTCAACCTGAATAAACCTACGCTTGAGAGTGTAATAACTTGTATTTTTCATGCATCATTGGCCAAGCATTACAAATTTGACATAAAATTGGTAATGCTTAAGGCTGATCTCAAGAAAATGTTTTGATAAGTTACCTGGTTGAAAGGAATTTGAAAGAGAAAAAATGGCTGTGGAAAAAGAAATTCGGCTTTGAAAAATGGAAACAGAAAAGAGAGAATTCCAGCTTAAAGAAATTGAAGAAGAAAAAGCAGCAAAAGAGAGAAAATTTCCGCTCAAAGAAAATAGAGCTGAGAATGAAAAATTTAGATTGGAAGATGATAAAGAAATTTGTCCGAAACAACTTGATTTAAAGAATTGGCCTGAGAATCAGTGGACCATGTTTAGGGGAAAAGCTCAGGAAGTTTATTCTGCCTTCCCTAGAAGTTCTGGATGTTAAGTCTGAAGTTTTGGAGGCTAATGACTTGGTTCCCGAAGCTTATAGACAAAACCTTTGGTCTGCGAAGAAACAGGTGGGTTCTACTTTTATTGAGTTTGCAAGGGAGAAGGAAACTTTGTTTGGCAGGTGGTGTACATCAAAGGAGGTGAATGGTGACTTTGATAGTTGGAGGCAATTGGTTGTCCTGGAGGTTGTTAAGCAGTGTGTGTCAACAGACATTACACAATGCTGCTACTTTGGCTGATGATTATTCGCTCACTAAGTTAGTTTTAAGCAGTCAGGGTTTACTGGCGAGGACTTCGCAGGGTTACAAATCAGGAAAAGATAGTTCATCCCATCATAGATCTAGTACAAACAAGTCTCGTTCTGAGTTTGTGGACAAAATGTCTGGTTCTACTCGAGTTGGTTCTGAAGATATTTCGTTGGAGCAAACTTGTAGATGTTGTCGCAAGCCAGGGCACATCATTTCTGAGCTCAGTCATTCTTCCCCTAATGCTTTTGTTTGTGAATGTCAGGTCATAGCCTTTTTGTGGTACGGTTAATGAGGAGTTAGCTGTTGTAGACCAGTCATCAAAGTCTGTTGTTGTGAGAGAGGAGTACTTACCTTTTGTTAGTAAAGATTTTGTGTCAACTAGAGGTGATAGTTCCCATTTTGAGGGAAAATGGTGCTCTTCATACTCTGATTTTGGATGGTATTTTGGCACTTTCTGAAGAGGCATCGGTGAAGTCTGAGGTTTTGTAAGAGGGTTTATGTGGTTCTTGGTAAAGGTTATGGTTGTAGAAACTCTCCCTGTCAAAGGTGTAGACTTGCTCATTGGAAATGAATTTGAAGGAGAAACGCAGCAGCATTTAGTGCAGTCAATAGTATGCAGACCCGTGAAGATCATGCCGACCCATGAAGATCATGCCGACCCGTGAAGATCATGCCGACCCATGAAGATCATGCAGACCCGTTAAGATCATGCCGACCCGTTAAGATCATGCCGACCCGTGAAGATCATGCCGACCCGTGAAGATCCAAGTAGAAAGTAGATCTTCAGCAACCCATTCTTGCCATAAGAGGCGACTATGCTTGTCGTAAGAGGCGACTAACGGGATCAGGTGGTCAGGCTCGCTGACTTGGTTGATGCATGTCATCGTATCCCATTTGTGTAGATCGATGCTCATGGTGTCAATCATTGGATTGTCTGGTCCATACTCGATTATTTACAAACCGCCGTCATATAGCTGGAATATTGCTGAGTACAGCGTGAAACACAGTTTGCTTTAGGAAAAGACAACTTTTATTTGTTTTTTTAGACCCTTCCATAAGGAATCGATCTGTGCCAATCAATGTTCAGCTATTCTTACCACCAGAGCTTGATGTGTGGCTTTGTGATGTAATTCAAACTGTTAGTCACATTCATTAAGATTATAAAATCTATCACCATGAAGTTAAATACTGTCAACACATAGTCGAACATATATAAAGTATTGGGTAGCACTTCATGACCTTTGATTGGTATATAATAAACGAGGAAGTGTGCTGTTCGTCCAGTTACAAAACAGACTACCTACAGTTCACAAGTCACATTTACCTCCAAATCTGATATACCAGTAAATAAATCTTTTAGAGGCATTTAGAAGTTGGAGTATTACATAAGGATAAGATATATGATGAACAACTTCTTTATTACAATAAGATGCGACTGTTATTCGTTCACCAGACACATTCATATCAATATATATATTATTATCTGATATACCAGTAAACACTTTATAAAGTTGAAGCAAAGACACACTTCTAGAGAATTAAACACAAATTGTCATCCATTGGAAGACAGACAGTTGCCAATACTCTCAACCTAAGCAAATCATAAGCCTGCAATGAAGTATGAATTCTAAATATACCAAAAAAACGTATATCCTACTTATCTCTCAAATGTTGTACCAGAGTATTATTTTTTCAGGAATAAGGCTGTCATATGGATTTTGAGACCCATCTCTATGGTATCGATTTGGGCCAAGCAATGTCCAACTTCTCTCTCATCATGGCATAACGGCATGACAGAAAGTTTGAACCATATTTTCAATTGAAGGAATTCTTCAGGGATACCGAGGTATATTCCCCAGTTGTCGGGGAATCAGGACATCTCAATATGTCACCTGGCTGATTGTATGCAATTGTCTGTTTGTTTCCATGTTTATTTCGAGGTTAACTCCACACTCGTCATACCCAAGTGGAGTAGATCCAATTATTTTTCTTCCTCTAAATGTTAAAACGACAAAGGCAGACCGAAATTCTGGCGGTTGGTATTGAGAACGACAATATTGATTTGGTTGAACAATATAAGTATCTTGGCACCATTTTTGATTCAAAACTCACTTTGAATGCCAACACAAAGCGTACATATAAAAAGGGCCAAAAGTGATTGTATTTCTATAGGCATCTTAGGTATTTTTAACTAGATATTACAATACTCAGTTTTAAAGAATATTTATTCAAAGCATTTGAATTTTTATTGTTAACTGCTGGGCACGGGAGCTTTTCAAAATAAATGTCAAATATATAAAATTCTAAATACAGCAAGCAAAATCTCAGGTACCCAATTTCAACACATCGGTGACGTTTATGAGCAGCACATTATCAAAAAGGCGCTTAAGATACTATTGTTTGTTTGTTTGTTGTTTAACGCCGCCCTCTGCAATATTCCAGCTATATGACGGTGATCTGTAAATTATCGAGTCTGAACCAGACAATCCAGTGATTAATATCATGAGCATCGATCCACTCAATTGGGATCGATGACATGCATCAACCAAGTCAGCGAGCCTGACCACCCGATCCCGTTAGTCGCCTCTTACGACAAGCAGAGTCACCTTTTACGGCAAGCATGGATTGCTGAAGACCTATTCTACCCCAGAATCTTCACAGGTCCTTAAGATACTAAATAACAGCAGTCATGTACTTTATTCCATATATCAAGGACCGGAAATCACTCATGCCAGCCAGTATTAGTCTTATAAATCTTTTAGTCCTTTATCTATTTAATACTTTCTAACAGTTTACTGTACACAAATCCTATCCTGCCCCATCCCTTTTATTACAGTTTACTCTTACTGTGAGAGGAATACATATACTTTAAAATACCATTCCTTGACGTCACTGTCATAGTGTTCAATCTTTCTCGTGTTCAATTTTCAACATGATTCTACAGATGGTTATATTAGTAAGTGACTTGTTTTCTTATGTACATATTTTCATATCATATGTTTTCTTTTTTCATTTTCTAGTGCAATTTGAATTTCCCTTTGGATGATAAAGTATTCTCTTATCTCTTATAGCTTAAATGGATAGAATGGGAGGGGGGGGGGGGGGGGTGTGTGCACGAGTGGCCTAGTTGTCCTTGACGACTAGATTGACAGAGTTGCGTCCCTTGGGCACGCCAGAAACATAGGATTGTGGGTTTAAGTCACGGTTCGCCCTGATTATGTTTCTAGGTTTGTCAGCACCACACCATACCCGTGCTCGTGGTTTTGCCGAAGTGATAAACGTCTGAGACCTGCATCACTTCGGGGCTTTCCTACCACATTCAGTTGACACGCCGAGATGTAACTGGAATACTGTTAAAAGCGACGTTAAACCAAAATTACTCACTCACTCTTATTTACTGGAATAATGAATCTTCTTAGCTCAGTGTCGGCTTTCCCTGACAGACATTGAATCTGATCGGACAACACGCAGGACCTTTTGTGACTCCAGTGTGTCACTAGTATGTAGAATGTTATTGTGGAAGTAAGCACCAGACACAAAGATCCACCAACAGCTATCTCCATGAAGGATTCCATCACACGTTCAGCATCAGGTTGGTCCACAAGCAAAGCAACAGCAGTGGAGATTGGACCTCCCAGACCAAGAGGAAAGCCTGCACCCCTTTCTTCTACAAGATGGCGTTGCCCTATTACCTTCCACTCTGTTGTTCCAAGACTTATGGCAGCAATTATATCGATGAGCGTTTTTACCGTGCGAAGTATGGTGATCTTACGTTGGCTGATGTCATCTGAATGCCTTGTCCAGGTTTTTCTCATTCGAACCTTATTGGCATCAATATGTCCACCCTCAGCTACTCCGAGAGATGTTCTTACTGCAAGCACATACTTTTCTACCACTGCCACTGCTTCCTTCCATTTGTTATAATAATATATTTCACTGAACAACTCAGCAACTAAGCCCATCACTCCACCAATGACTATCACGATATGAGACATCTTCTCCATTGCAGCAGAGATGTGACCATGAGCAACAGTTGTTACTATTTTACAGATGATGAATCCCACTGCCAGTAGTTCCAGAAGACAAATCAAGAGCTTGATCAGTGTTGTATGTGCAGTCGTCTGCATAGACATATCAGCCAAATGGGTCAGGTCTTTGGGCATCATGTCAAGCGTTTGGAGGAAAACTTCATTTTGGCGACAATTTCTCTCCTTTTCATTGCGTATTTTCTGTTCCTGCTCCTTCTGCAGCTGTAGTAGTCTTGTCTTTTCATTTGGTGTTAATGATGTACCCTGCATAGCTTCTTGTTGGTTCAACATAATTAAGGCATCATCTGTAAACAGAATTATATTGTGTACGTGTAAATATGTGAAATATATTTGAATCAAAATGATAGTATCATTCTTACACTCATGACAGAGCTAATCCTGTTTTCATTGCTAAATAAATATTTAAAAGAAAAAAGGCACCATTACCTGAAAGTGCAAAAGGGCGCTCTTTCGATATATCAGTTGCTAATTCCCTGATCTTTTTTGCAGCAGCCGATTCTTCGTTGACGTGTATGGCCCTGCTGTTCTTGTAGATGGTGTATACATCAACAGGTATGGTGATGGCTGCAAGTGCTGCTCCTCCGATGGCCAAACCCATTGTGCCTGTCTTCAGAACATTTGCAACTGTTCTGCTGACACTGGCCACCATTGTTCGTGAAGCTAATGCAACAGAAGTGGAGGCAATTTTGGCACCAGCAGCCCCGAATTCCGACGTAGCTTTCATACTTAGAAGAAATACTTCTAGGGTCTTGGTTGTTTCAGGATCAGAAACATTACGTATTTTATCCTTGAAATCCTGCTCAATTTGTGCATTCCATTCATTTCGTATTTCCTCCATAATTTGTACAATGCAGTCCACTATATTTAGGTATTTGTTGGCTGCTGCATAGGCTGCTTTGGTCTTCTTGCTGTTCAGCAGCCTGTCTATTATTGTCGTGACCAGTCCCCCCACACCGCTTGACACTCCCAACGCGACGCCTGCTATAGTCAGACCCAGAGAAGCACCAAAAGTGAATGGAGCTGCAATGATGCCACCAATGGCTAACCCAGAACCAAGTATACCAGTTGATGCAAACGTGGTTTTCGCAATTCGAGCTTTGCGAACCTCTTTGTCAACTTCATTTGCAAGATCATTCAGTGTTTCCACAACTTGCATCCTCCCGTCGCTTTCTTTAGATATCAATCTTTCTACTTCAGAGGCAAAATCTGTATCTTTATTCTTGTTAGCCATATTCTGTAAAATACAGACGAGTTATATAAGCGGTGGGTATAGCGAACGTTTACTCTTTCATGTTAATAATATTGCACTTTATCTTGTCACATTATATCCCTTTTCATTCCTAAATGGTATCCAGTTTATGGAAGGCAAGTGTTTGTTCAACCAGCCGCAAATGGTTACCTGCAGAACCTTGAAGACGTGCACGCAGCTTCAGTTGTGCAAGGAAATGTAATGTGAGTGCACACTGATTCATTGGCCAGGATGGTTATTTAGTAGCGTCATGAGTACCACTCCCACTGCACGGAAATAGAGACAAGAAGGTTACAACATAAAGATCTGGGTTGAGTATATGGGATATTTATTAATGTTGGGCTAGTGTGTTTCAAGACGGAACACTTTTCGCATGTAGAATATCTAAGTTAAATGAATACTGTACATACACGTGCGAACAGTTGTTCTCAGAACTATTGCAGTTAGTTGAACTAAGCATGATGCTCCCATGCATGTGCCTTACTGTTTGATGTGATGATAATACTTTCAAAGATTATTTAATTCTATCAACAAGTATCATGATTGTGTTAATCCGGGATAGCAAAGGTCTTCAACAAACCATGCTCGCAGTAAAAGGCGACTATGCTTGTCGTTAAAGGCGACTAATGGGATCGGGTTGTCAGGATCGCTGACTTGGTTGATGCATGACATCGATCCCAATAGCGTTGATCGATATTAATCGCTGGATTGTCTGGTCCAGCCTCGATTATTTACGACCGCCATCATATAGCTGGAATATTGCTGAGTGCGGTGTTAAACAACAAACCAACAAACCAATTCAAAGTCACAATGGATCATATTGTAAAACAAGTTTCTGGAAGTCCTCAGAAAACAAATTATTTTCTTGAATCATTAAAATCATTGAAATACTGAGCACTTGAAATGCAAGACATATTTACTATCTTGCAGCTACAGCCTTTGGTGTTTATATTTCACAAATTTAGAGGTGCAGTCGAGCGTGATCCCTACGAAGATTTCAAAGAGAGTCACATGATCGGAAGTTGTTTGATCAAGGTTACAAGATTCCAGGCCTCATTAAAGACTTAAAACGTTTGGAGGACATTTCCAAATTTAATGTCCGATGCAATTCCCTATTCCGAAAAGAACAATATGTTCCCGATTTTGTCAGGTGAACAATTGACTTGCCTTGGCATGTGTTTGTGATGGGAGCCACGAACATATGGTATCATCACTTTTTGATGGTGATTTATAAACAAGTCTTATGGTATAGTTGGACTCAAACGATGGTACCAATTCACCCACACAATGTCACATATAGCAAAACATGAAACATAAAACAATTTATCCATAATGTATTTTGAAATGTTAAAGGTACAAAAGGAACCATTGTACTGTACATAATGGAAGTTCTCCAGATGTCCAGAGACTCAATTTATTTCTGTTTAAAAATATCTTCACGTTATCATTATACTTGGATTCAAATAATCAAAATACGTGTGTGAAAGATGTGAGCAACGGATATTGTACATTTAGTAAGAATGCATTATACCCACACACCAGAACGAACGTTTGATAGGGTGCGCTAACTGATGCGCAAAACCGCCCCTAGCAACCAGGAATTTTGTTTCAAAATCAATAAAAATCGGTAAGTACTTCCCAATACAAAACAAAGTGATCCAAACTGTCATTTGCTGTGTTTACAGGAGCGACAGTTTGCCGTTTCACAATGATGTCCCTGTCTGCACAATGAGGATTATATGCTCGCACGATATATATCTGTACATACACATGGAAACGACATGAAAAGAGATTCTTAACATGTACATTAGAAAGAGTGCATGAGACTTGGAAAGAGATAATGTTTTCACTGCATGATTGATGAAAACCTATGACCATGTAAAAAGACTGAAGCTTGGGAGCTTATGGGGTTACCTACGGCTGTGCAGTGTCAGGCAACTCACACATACACGTGCAAACACATACTTTTTATGTATCCATTCAAATGTTCTCTGCTATTTGCCTTTTACGCCCAATGGAATCTGTTTAATCGGGTCATTGTGATTATTATTCTCTGCCATTGGCGTTTTATATTTTATCTCATAGTTTTTGTCTCCTTCTTGCCAAGCTACCTGTTCATCGAGATAACTGTAAACTATTGTGTCTTGGTCAACTTTCAGCAATCGTTACCAATTTTATTTTCTTCTTCGAATACTATTTCACCAAGGTTCAGTTATAGGAACGTGTTGTAGAACGTGGACTTGGCAGATGATGATACAAATTCCGCTATTAAAGGCTGCCTAGAGTCATCAGTGTGTGATGTCATTGGTAGGATGCACAAACGGAACAAAATTTGAACAAAAACATTCGGTCCAAGCCAGCACTCGTCCACAGTCTGGCTGTCCGAAGTGAAAAGTTTGTAGTTGTTCCCACTGACAAGGCATCAAACAACATAACCATTATATGTTAGCATCACAACATTAATTGTTTAATCAAAGAACTTGTATAAAGCAGTATGATAACTAAGAATGAAATCTGCCAAAAATGCGCTTCAGTATTATCATCTTTTGGCTTCACTCAAAATCCCGTAGCCATGTCCCCTCCTCTTTTGTACTGGATTCCAAAGCTCCATAAAGAGCCATACAAAGAGAGAGATATTGCGGAACCTCCACTGGCTCAAAATCAATGAGAGAATCAAGTATAAAGTGATGCTGATTCTGTTCAATGCGAGACACAATCAAAAACCAACTCATGTCAGCGAGCTTCTTGAAGAGTACGTGCCTGGGATATCTCTCAGATCAAGCTGCCAGTCCCTACTCTCTGTGCCTAGTGTTAGAACGGCGACTTTTGGAGGTCGGAGTTTCGCCAAAGTTGCCCCTGAGCTATGGAATAGGCTGCCGTTGGATATTAGCAACATTGACAGTCCTACTTTGTTCCGATCAAGACTCAAAACCTATCTTTTCACCAAATCTTTCTTGGAGTATTGAGGCTTTGTGTTTTCCTAGCTGTGTAATATCTCTTTTTTGTGTAGACTCAAATGAAGCGCTTTTGAGCAGGTCTTCGAACTGGATACCAGCGCTATATAAATCTGTAGTTATTATTATATTATTATACCTCTCATCACTTGGTTGTTGTCACACCAGCTTGATAACAGTGTAAGAATCTACATCGAAACGTCGCTATATGCTCTAAACCAGAAGTTGTTATCCATAAAGTTTACGTTTTTCCTAGCTTTCAAAATTTGTAGAGGACATTTCCATCAATGACTAAAATGATGATAAAGTGACTTTACAAACTGAAAATATAAATTTCAGACAAAGTATATATTTTTTTTCGATGAAGTCTATCTAAAACACATAACCTAAATACAACAATAGTGTATGCAGAAAATGTTAATCGTCTGTTACATGTTTGCGAGATAACACGCAAAAAAGTGAAAAACATGTGCACCACGGACAACTGCAAATGCACGTGCGGGTAAGGGTATAAAACGATTGCAACAGCAAGTCAGAGATCCACAGTGATAAAAAAAAACACAAACGAAATCCCACGACTCAGTCGAACAACGTGAACGAGCCTTGGGTATGGTACAGATGGGAGCCACCCACGCCAATATTGCACGAACCTTCGACTGCTCCCGTGTTGCCGTTACCAACTTGATGCAACGTTACAGACAGACAGGGCGGACCGCTGACAGGCCAAGAACAGGCAGACCCAGGGTGACCACGCCCCATGATGACCGGTACTTGCGTACCTTGCACCTCCGAAATCGCTTCCTGACAGTGACGTCATCGGCGACAAATGCCTTAGGTCACAGGGTTAGGCGACAGACAGTGGCCAGGAGACTCAGGGCTCTTGGAATCAGGGCTTTTAGACCATACAGAGGACAGCTATTGAGAGCGCAACATCGTCGTCTGCGATTGAGATGGGCCCGGACTGTACGACGTTGGCAACGACTTGACTGGCAGAGGGTTGTCTTCACTGACGAAAGTCGACTCTGTATGATTAGGGCTGATGGAAGACAACGTGTTTAAGGACGAAGGGGTGAACGAACGGCGGCGTGCTGCGTGCAGGAGGTCGTACCATATGGTGGAGGGAGTGTCATAGTGTGGGGAGGGATCTGTGGGCAGGTGAGGACACCGCTGGTCATCGTTGACGGAAACTTGACCGCTCAGCGTTACATGGATAACATTCTTCCTCCAGTCGTCCTACCATTTCTCCAACAGCAGCCACGTGGTGTCATTGATCAGCACGACAGCGCTAGAGCCCATACAGCCAGAATTGTCACTAACTTCCTCTCCTCGCAGCCAACAACGTCAACGTCCTGCCGCTCACCCGACATGTCCCCCATAGAACACCTCTGGGACTAGATAAATCGTCATGTTCGACAACGACCACACTCTCCAGCCAACCGGCAAGAACTGATCTTGGCCCTCCAAAAAGAATGGCGTCAAGTGACCCCATCAGACGATTGACTTTTTCTGTGCGTCGAAGAGTTTTTGCGTGTATTGAGGCATTTGGTGGTCACACACGCTAGTAATGACTTGTTATTGAACGTGAGCGATTGTTTATGTACTCTGCCTATTGTCCATGATTATGAAAGTTCGAATTTTGTACCACACCCAACTTTGGGAGGCTCTGACGTCATTCTCGGTCGCGGTATGATTGTCATTTTCAGTGTTGATTGTGTTGATGTATTGATCTTCTCAATACACTTTACTTCATGCATGTATGTTTTGTTGTTTTTGAGAAAGGGCGATTTCAAACTCTGGTAAAGTTTCTTTTGGACGTCATTTTATTTGCTATTCTCTATTCTTTGCCGTGTTTGTTCATGTGACAAATTGCCTTGCCTTTGCGTGTGTTTGTGACGGGTACAACGGGTGAGGCAGGATACGCTCACCTTTTGCGAACACCTGGTATTCATAAACATTTGCTCATGATATAGTTGGAAGGGTAGAAACGACGCAGAGATTTCTATGAATATGGGAGGGGTTTTGTCGCTTTTATTTATATATATAATTACTTGCTGTGTCTCATCATTCATATCTTATACCTGGACGACAAACATATCACCATCTGCAACACGTGACCACAAAATGATTAGATTGCACTAGACAAGGTGCACGTAACGACATTAGGAACGACATTCGTCTTTAGCTTTGAAGTTTGAATTTAACTGAACGTCTATTGCTAGTGGGGTGTAATATTTTAAGTCACTCACTTACCTGAATGTCAATCAAGAACGTAATCGCTGAAGCCCAAGAAAGCTATGGAGAGTTGGAGCAC